CATTCATTCATTCATTCATTCATTCATTCATTCATTCATTCATTCATTCATTCATTCATTCATTTATTCACTTACTCACTCATTTTCTCCCTTCCCCCATCCTTTTCCTCTCTAATCATCTAAACAAATAGATTTAGATTAAATAAGTTTTAGTACGTCTTGACTAAAACATATCATCTTTAATATTATTTTCAGAAAAATTAGTACTTTGTTGGCTGGTGCTAGGTTCAAATGTCTTTACATCAGTCATTACCGCTTCATTAGAAGCAATAGTATTTTGCATGGAAGTTGGAATTAGGGTAGATTCAGTGGTATTTCTGTTTTCTATTTCTGACTTCTTTTTCAATTGTCCCACTATAGTCACATAGTTAGCAGGCACTAAACCGACATTCCTATTGTCCGTAGCTATCCACCAACCTGGTATGCTTTTAGATTGTAGAGTTCGCGGCGCCAAAAATATTTTTTGACCAGCTTTCAAATTCAATTCCTCATTAGAAACCGCTACAAAATCATACATCGCAGTTGCTACACATACAGGATCTTCACATTTGACCCATTCTTTGGGATCATTGACTGCAAAAATCAATAATACAAGATTTCTCATATTTGTATAAAATGTTAAAGCAGATTGGATTTAAAGATTAAATAGTTGCATTTTGAACAATATTATATACCAAATTATATTTTGATTAAAATAATTTGATTTTTCTCCAACTGTAGAGAGTTTATATAATTACCTTTTATTTGAGCCTGCCTTATATTATTTGATATTTTGTGAATTAAATATGGAATAGCAACAAATACGCCAAGAAGCAAAACGTTCATCCATGGAGAAATACGTTGATTTGTCGGCATCATCTGTTCTCCATTCGTTAATTGTGACATTGATTGTTGCCACAAGTCTTCAGCAACAGCATTCTGTGTTTGAAGACCTGAAGAAATAAGACAATAAAGAACAATAAATAATGTAAATTATGTAAATTGTGAAAAGTTTCGACCGAGCAATAAACTCACCAAGCGTCAATAAAATTTTTCTATAAATCCATTTCATGAATCGGATTAGAGCAAATGTACTAAATAGCTGTCCAATTGTTGAGCGCAATCTACCGATATTATCTGCTACACTCAAGATTGCTCTAAAGGAATTTGTTAAGGCAAAATATGTTGACTCCAACAACATCGTGATGGACGAAAATGTATGTAATACAGTTTCCACTATGCGGAAAGTCGACCTTGTGCTTTCCTCTGCATACTGTTGAAATCTGTAATATATAATTATGTAAAACATATTTGTAATGATATTTATAAGTAATTGTGTTTTGCATAATATACCTGTTTTCCACATCTCCACTGTGTCCTCCAATTTGTCCATAATTATTGCCAGAATAGGACATATAATTCCCAAAGGAATTCCCATATCCACCATATCCTCTATAGCCACCTAAATATCCATAGTTTCCATAGTTTCCATAATTTCCATAGTAGCCTGAACCATATGATCTATAATCATTATATCCTGAATAATTTTGAACTGGTTGACGAGGTGGCAAGGGAGGTGGAACAGCTATACGAGGTTCAGTAGCTTGAAAAGGCAAGCTTGATCCTGGCATGCTAAGTAGAGATTTAAGATTTCATTGTTATAATTTATTGATTATATATATATATTTATATGTATAGAAATATTATTTAGATATTGCTTTGTAAAGCAAAAAAAAAACAACATATTAAAGTGCTAAAAACAGCTTATTAAAGATCTGTTAGAAACACCTAAATGCATACATCTTGATTTTTCCATTCTTTTTCATAATGCTTAAATATAACGATTAGTAGATACTGAAAATGAATATGTTACTAAGCATATAAGATCTACAAGTGCAAAGATTATTAAAAAACAAACAAAGAATATTTTTCGAATTCAATATGATGCTACGAATGTATGCGAAGATTGGTTAATTGGTTAATATATACATTGATGTTAAAACCAATGTCACCTTACTTTGATGTAATATTAGAAGAGTTTCTCAACTGATGGCTATTAATGTTATTTCTTCCCGGTGCCATGGCTCAAATCTCACAGTTTTTAACAATATCAATACGCATATAATGACGTGGTATATTTTTCCTGCTGTTGTTTGTTCAAAGTCCAATTATATAAATTTACAGTGACAGAGAAATGTACACTCGACCTAATATACGCTCTAATATACTCTCACGTCTGAAGTGACATCCGTGATGCCATAGCACAGTGCTGCCCAACCCTTTGACTATGAAAATATGGACTGCTAGTTACCCCCACTTTTTCTATCTAACCCGTGTATAAGGACATGTATCCAACATCTTTCGATATTTTTCGAGATTTTGGCCCCGCCCCGTGTGGCAAATTGCGGGAAATTCAAAGTACGTAAAAAGAATGCAAGGATTAAAGCCAATGTCCACGCTAGAAATCGGTCCGAGAAACATATAGCCAATAAAATTTCCGTTTTTCCATAAAAAATGCAAGTTGATTGGTTATACATTTCTCGGACCGAGATCTCGGACCAATTTCTAGCATTGTGGACATTGGCTTTTAAACCCGTAAAACTGCAGGCTGGAGTCATTTATTTCCCCTTTTTTATATTTTCTTGATTCGCAGCCTTCCACAAAACAATATAACACCATTTTTATATATTTAAATAATTGTCAAAGATTCAAGTCGATATGCACTAAATACCACGCACCTTTGACACGCACACTATTGTATGGATTAGTTATTCCCAGCCCCGTTGCCACACAGTGTCGCCACAGATCTTGGCTATCAATGTGAAGTTGGTTCTAGCGGTCCATATTTTCATAGTCAAATGCTGGATTCATATTGGGTTCGATTTCTGACGTACGATATTTCGTTTTGATCGCATTTTCTTTACATTTCGTAAGTTTCTTTATTTTTTTAAAGTTATGTGAATACATATACATCTCTTTTTTTACAAGCAACAAGTGTTTGTAACATGTAACGGATAAATTTAATTTTTGTTTGATTTTTTCTTGTATTCACCAAACAATAGCATTTTTAATGTCAATTTCTCTTGTAAAGAGTCCTCTACAATTCCTCTACAAAGAAGAGCACTGTCACCCAATGGTCAGATGTTTTTCAACATTACATGATTATTTGTGAGTTTTATTTTTTATTTTATTTTCTTGATATTTATTATGAGAAAATATTTTAATTTATATTATAGTTTATAACTATAAGCTAATCTATACTGATGAAACAACTATGACTATAACTAATCTTTCAGATGCTGATCATATTTTTATATATAATTGTAAAGAGTGCAATATATAACAAACTGTTAATAATGGCTATGAAACGTACCTGTAATAATAATGAATTTTTTTTGAAATGGCATCCAGAAATGATATTAGTATCAGACTCGCCTATCACTTGGCAAGGCTTTCTACTTATCTCACATGCATCTTGTGAGCCACATGATATTCAATGCTCCAGAGTAAAATTGAAACTAATTCTGCCAAATTATCCATCATTTCGTAATGTACAAATTAGATTTGGCAAACAAATAGCTTTTCTGCGAAACATAGAATTTAGACAAAAAGTGAAAGCATTATTAATGAATTCTACACAAACGGTTCCTTTATTCTTAAGACAATTACAATCACTTATTGTAAGTATAGAATGTTAATTTGATCTTTTTCTTTAACTTTATTATAATATAATTATAATTGCAAACATTTACAAAAAGGGTGAATACATGCATAAAGCAGATAGTAAACTTTGTATGATTGATCTTGATGCTACAAGTAATTTTCTCAAAGATTTGAAAACAGCTCTTCAGAATTCATCTGTAAGTTAATTTATAAAATGTATTCTTTCGTAAATTCTTAAGTTTAGCATTATTATAAATAAAATGTCTGTGTTGTTAAAGGATGTACAATTAACATGTAATCATAACTTAAATATGATTACATTATCCTTAAGAGGTATATCTCTTAAACTGCAAAGATGTAACAGTATTGAAGTTCCATGGAAAGTTATATCTTCTGATTTGCCCAATGTTTCAATATTTGAAGGCTTTGAAAAAAATATAACTAATTTGAGTATTACAATGGTTAAGTTTAAATGGCAAGTGGAATTATTGGAAAATGCATGGAAGCAGTTAAAAGAAATTGATGAGTAAATAACTTTATTACAGTTATTAGAAACTATAATATTTTTTTATTTTTAACAATTTTTTAAAAAACAATATATTATTTAATTATTTTACTGTTGAAGAAATTATCAAAATGTTAGTTGTAATACTTAAGCATTTTAATGCAAAATATTTTATTTTTTACTAGAAATTGTTGGGTAATTGATCCATTGGAACCAAATAAGAGCCACATGTACAGGCGTATCCACTTGTCGCAGTCTATATCTGTGACAATTACAATCCAAGATCTATTACATCCCACTGCTTTGCCAGTAATTAAATTCTTCGGCAGTGACAATGAAGTAAAAAAACAAATAAACTATGTGTCTGATAATATGCATGTATGTATATATCTGTGTATATCATAGAATATAACAGAATGCACTTTATTTAACTCACATTGATGTACGTTTTACAGAATTGGAATAAAGATCGTAGCATATTAGAAAATCTAAGAATGCTATTAAATATGTATGAATTTCCCGAGCCACAGGAAAATTTGGAAGATAAGAAAGCCATTATTGGCAGTCATGAATGTGGTATATGTTTCTCTGCCGATGAATTACCAGATAAAATATGCAATAATAAAAAATGCATGAAGCATTTCCACTCAACATGTTTGTCAAAGGTGTGTAATCATAATATATATATATAATACATAACAAAACAGTTTGTAACTAATATTGCAATTATGTATTTGAAAAAATATTCATATGCACATTTCGTAAATTGTTATTAAATAAAATATTAAATAATTAAAATTTTTTTACAACAGTGGTTGCAAACAAATGCTAGAAATCAAGTTGTGTTTAACCATATCCATGGCGCATGTCCACACTGCAAGGAAAACATTTCCTGCTTCATTGAATGGTAAAGATAAAATATTGATTTACACAATTATCTCTTTTAAAGCATTCATATTTTATTCAAATATATGTACATGTCTATAATTCATTTCCTGAAGCCATTCTCTCATAGATTGATTAAACTCTGAAGTTCCACATATTAAAATTAATGTTGTTTCTGTGCTATTAGATTGAAGATAATCAGCAACAAGTGATTTGTTTAAGCGACCAGCTTTTATATTAAAACCATGAAAACTACTTATCTTGTCTGAAACAATCATTTAAAGTCTTTGTCTTCAATTACGTATAGTTTACAAATTATCTAGATTTTAATTGATTATAAGTGATTAAAAAAGATTAATGTTAACTATGAAGTTGTAAAAGTTTGCACTTTGTAAAAAGTGCAATAATTTTGAGAATCTAATTTTATTGCTGTGTGTTATATTCTATTATGACATACCATTTAACTGTGACAGCTGTAGAGTACATTTAAAATTCCAAAAATCCACTAAATGTCTCAATTCTTTTTTCAGAGGCACATGTGCTACAGATTGAAATCCCGCAACAAGATACACCCTCGTTAATTCTGTTTCGTCGTCGACAATTGCTTTAGCAATAGGATAAAGTGCTGCTATTCCTGAGCCAATACTAAACATGACGATCTGTTGGAAACTATCATAATGATGTGTTAAATCTTGCAAACCAATTTTTACGCCGTGGATCTTACACACCTGTTGTTTTCATATTTAAAATTCCCATATGGACCTCTAATGTCAATTGTACTCCCAACTGATGCTTCTTTCAGATACGAACTAAATTCACCTTGGTTGTATAATTTCACTAACAAAACTAAATCCTTGTTTGTCCAGACAATTGGTGTATATGGCCGGGACTTGCATTTTGCATGCAGCATAACATATTGTCCAGGTATAAAATGCAAACTAACATCTTTTTTTATTTTGTGTTCTATGTAATATGCAAAAGTATTTTTTTTAAATATATATAATGTATTGATTGTTCTTAGTGAGGAAATTTTTAATAGAACTGATGTATTTGTTGTGAATGAAGATTTAGCAGTATGATAGTTTTTATTTTTATGAAATATGTTATTGTTGAAATATGTTAGTTTATTATATAATATTTGCTACTGATTTGATATACACGTGCGTGTATGCATACATATGTATCTATAATACCAATACCTGGATATTCCAAATGTACTAAAAAATAATCTTCTGATGTTTCAGATATATCTTTGATAATAAATGTTTTATAAGATAGAAGAGATAACAAGTTGCTGGACGTTTTTACTTTCACATCTTGTATCTTCCTGCTTTCCCATTCTTTTAGCAATATTTTGTAAACATCAAAAACACATGGAGTACAACCACTACCACAACAATCTTCTTCCAATGGCATTTTGGGCCCATCATCTTCATTGTTATAATCATTGTGATCATTGTGCAAACTCATTTTGTAGATATATTATGTTTTTAATAGAATCTTTCCTCTATACAAAAAATTAAAATACAAGTTAACCTAACTTTGCTTTTCATACACATAAATAAATAAAACATACAAATTTATATTATTTATTGCATAATTTATTTTTATTCAGACATTTTGTCCATTTGTACTGGAAAATATCTTAATTTTATTTTATCTTGTATCAACATATTCAGGAAGAAAACCCCTTAAGGCTCGACAGGAGTGACAGCCCGAGTTCGAATTGATTTTGGGGGCCTCATGCGGAGAAACTAAGAACTAAGAACAAGAATAAATAGATCCTTGTCTCTCCTGTAATAGCTTTCCGAAATACGAGTACACCAGTAACGGGATTCTGTAATGTTAACGATGTCGTTATGGTATCGTTGCGCAGCTATTACATGATACAAAAAACCTGCGCAACGATACCATAACGACATCGTTAAGGTTACAGAATCCTGCTACAGGTCACACAAATGCCTTGACATATGAAGTTGCACGGGTGTCAAGACATATCGAGTCGGTGTGTTCCGGCTCTATATATTTTTACATCATGACTATGGTTATGAACACAGCGGCAAAGCTGTTTTGACTGTTTCAAAGCAACTGGAGCAATTGACAAATAAAGGTTAATATTTATAATATCAATCAATTGTCCCAGTTGCTTTGAAATAGCTAAAACAGCATTGCCGTTATGTTCATAACCAGTCATGATGTAAAAATATGTAGAGTCGGAACACGCCGACTCGATATGCCTTGACACCCTGGTGAAAAAACATCTCATAATTTCCTAGAAAATTTTAAGAATTTTTCATTAATTTTTTTTTTATGTAAAAAATTCTGAAGTAAAAAATTTTTTATTTATTCACTAATTTTTAAAACATTTCTTAGAAA